TGTCACGTCTGAAGGTCTAGTCAGCAGGGGCTGGCTGCAGGAGGTGCGCCAAGGCACCCATGCCAGGGCGCTGACGATGCTCGCAGCAATCACGGGTCTTCGGGCCCCAAGCTTCCAGAACCTGCCTGCGTTGGCCCTTCGGCGTGCACTGTGGATTCGCCCTGGAACGGTAGCCGCGCCCGCGGGTCACAGGCGGGGCCGGCAGCGTCTCCCCCGGGTTCTGCCAGCTCTTTTTCCATCCAGGGGGTGCCCAGACCCAAGACCCAGACCAGGGATGCCCAGAGCATGTTGTAGGCCAGGCAGGTTGCTAGCGTCGAGACCAGGGGGCACGTCGTAGAGGAAGCCCAGGTGCGACCAGGCTTTGCGATTGAATATCCCGGGCCCCCTCGGCGCGTCGGCGAGGGAGAACTCATGCGGGTGCAGACCTGAGACTATAAAGCACAACCGAGAAAACGGGGGCGGCCAGGAGCTGGTCGAGGCCGTCGGCGAGCCCATCGCCCAATGCCTCCCAGCTGAAGCCGGGGTCGAGCGGAGCCCCGATGCGTTTAGGGCTTGGGGGTATACGCGAAACGTCTGGAATTGGTTCACCGCCGAGCTCAAGCCAAAGGGCAAGCCGCGCAGCACCCTGTACACACTTTCGTGCGTGGCAGGTTGGGGAATGGCAACCATGGCAAACTCCATGCCCCTGAGAGTGGGAAATAACTGCCGACACCCTTTTCCACCAATCCTCCACTGACGCAACGAGCTGGAAACGCTCCGGGAGCGAGCGGCCACCTTGCAAAACCTGGTAGGCCAACGCACGGGCCACGATGAGCGGCAACGCTGGCGGAATAGTTCCCACCGTCTCTGACAAGAAAGACAAGGGAATTGCTCTGGGCCCTTTTCCTGTCATCAACACAAGCCACGCGCCGCTCTGTCATGTCGCGTGGCGTGGGAGCGGGCGAAAGCCACCAGGCCCAAACCGAAGGTCGAGTTCGCGCCTCATCACGAATGAGTCGGCGATCCCCGCCTTGATTTTTTCCAGGGTCAAATCATCTGGACCCGGGCGCGTGTATTTTTCCCAGGCTGTCATCAAACTCTCAGGCAGCCGGTCCCCGCAGCGTCTCGGATGGATGCGGGACCGCGTTGTGCCCCGAAGATTTTGTGGACCACGGACTCAGGACGTTAAAGGCAATAACCTCCGCAGCTATCTCGAAACCGTGAATCATTTTGACTGGCAGCCTTGCGCCAGGCCTGTCCAAAAGCACGACGAGCACCACTGCAATCACGGGCGACATACCCGGTGCGCCTGCGATGCTGACATGACGCCGCTTCAAAGCGAAAGCGTCCAGCGGGAGATGGCAGCAGCGAGACACGCTAGCAATCTGCGCCCGTGCCGCCGCTGATGGCGGACACGAGGTCCTAGCGAAGCGTCGACGTGGACGGGGAATTGCAAGTCGAGCTCCAAACTGGGCGGGGCGGCACATGGGTGCAACAAAAACAATGCTCTGCGAACGTGCTCGTCTGGATCTACCCACGAGGTCAGGAAGGGCCCTGTCGGAGGCCGAGGGGCGATGTTGCCGGGCGGCTAAGGCGTGCATCGGCGATTGGGCCCACACGCTCGGCTTCGCGCGTGAAGGGCACCCTTCGCGCACCTTCGGGGCCCCAGTGGGCCCTTATGGGCCCTGTTAGGGCCCCTTCCCTCCAACCCTCCATCCCCAAACCCATTTTTATCGCACCCCCATTTTACGAAACGCCCGATTTTCCGGCACGCGGAGCTCGCAGGGGGCGGCACCCAGAGGCGGCGCCAGGGGCGTGGCGAGGGGGCCCAAGCGCCGACCCCGCCGCGATGAGAGGAAGCGGGAAGCCGAGCAAGGCCCGACAACCCCTAATCCTCGAGACTCGATAATCGATGGTCGTCGCCACATGTTCTTCTTCTTCCTCCCCCCCTCCTGCTCCTCCGCATCATCATCATCATCATCATCATCATCATCATCATCATCATCATCATCATCATCATCATCATCATCATCATCATCATCATCATCATCATCATCATCATCATCAGTATCATCATCATCCTCCTCCTCATCATCATCATCAGCATCATCATCATCATCATCAGCAGCATCATCATTATCATCGTCATCAACATCATCAGCATCATCAGCATCAGCATCAGCATCAGCATCAGCATCATCATCATCATCATCAGCAGCAGCAGCATCAGCATCAGCATCATCATCAGCATAGACATCATCAGCTTCATCAGCATCGTCTTCATCATCATCACAACAACATCATCCTCCGCATTCCGTCTCATCCTCCTCCTCGTCCTCTTCCTCCACTTCCTCCTTGTCCCCCTGACTCTCCTCTTTCTCCTGTCCCTGTTCCTCCTCCTCCTCTTACTCCTCCTCTTCCTCCTCTTCCTCATATTCCTCCTCTTCCCCCTCGTCCTCCTCAGCCTCCTCTTCCTCCTCGTCCTCCTCTTCCTCCTCCTCCCCTCTTCCCTCTCTTCTCCTCTTCCTCTGTTGTGTCCCTCCTCCTCCTCCTCCCTCCCTCCCCCTCCTCCCTCCTGCTCCTCCTTCTGCTCCTGCTTCTGTTCCTGTTCCTCCACCTCCTGCTCCTCCTCCTCCTCCTCCTTCTCCGCCTCCTCTTCCTCCTCCTCCGCCTTCTCCTCCTGCTGCTCCTCCTCCTCCTCCTCCTGCTCCTCTCCTCCTCCTCCTGCTCCTCCTCCTCCTCCTCCTCCTCCTCTCTCTCCTCCCCTCCTACGTCCTGCTCCTCCTCCTCCTCCTCCTACTGCTCCTGCTCCTACTGTCCTCCTGCTCATCCTCCTCCTTCTCCCTCCTCCTCCCCTTCTTCTCCTCCTCTGTTCCTTATCCTCCTGCTCCTGTCCTCTGCTCCTCCTCCTCATCATCATCATCCGCCTCCTCCTCCTCCTCCTCCTCCACCTCCTCCTTCCTCCTCCTCCTCCTCCTCCTCCTCCTCCTCCTCCTCTCCTCCTCCTCCTCCTCCCTCTCCTCCTCCTCCTCCTCCTCCTCCTCCTCCTCCTCCTCCTCCTCCTCCTCCTCCCTCCTCCTCCTTCTTCCTCCTCCTCCTCCTCCTCTCTCCTCCTCCTCCTCCTCCTCCTCCTGCTCCTCCTCCTGCTCCTCCTCCGCATCCTCCTCCTGCTCCTTCTCCTCCTACTCCTCCACCTCCTCTTCCTCCTCCTCCTCGTCCTCCTCCCTCCTCCTCCTCCTCCTCCTCCTCCTCCTCCTCCTCCTCCTCCTCCTCCTCCTCCAATGATCCTCCTGTTCCTCCTCATCCTCCTCCTCCTCCTCCTCCTCCTCCTCCTCCGCCTCCTCCTCCGCCTCCTCCTCCTCCGCCTCCTCCTCCCCCTCCTCAACCTCTTTTGTGGCATCAACGCCCAGGCCCCTTTACAGTGCATCTGCGACAGCAAGAGGCAAACTGCAGTAGAATATTCGGAGGAGAGCTGCGAGGCCGCAGGACCGCCTCCTCGATCGAGGAGACCGCCCAAAGGCCAAGCAGCTCACCCCTCAACATTAGTCCGATCCCGAACTCTCGTCTTGGCGAGATATCGGGATGAAACCCGCATCGTTCACGTCCTCTCGGAGGGCTGACGATGCGCTCGGCAAAGCAGCGGAGGGGTCTCCAGAGACCACAACGGCAGTCTCCTCTGCTTCCACCGAGGGGCGGGGCAAGAAAACGCCTTCCCCCGTCCGAAACGGGAGCGACGGACCTGGGGGGCGGCCTTAGGGTGCTCGACGAGCGCCTCCCTTACCACCCCCCCGTGACAGCGGATCCCGCCCACGGTGCACGAGGCAGCGGCACAATGCCCGCTCCTCGTGCCGACGGCGTCCCCCAACCTGGGGTCCGCGGCACTGCCGACGGCAGTGACGACGGCGACCCTCAACCTCCTCCTCCTCCTCCTCAACCTCCTCCTCCTCCTCCCTCCTTCTCCTCCCCTTCCTCCTTCTCCTCCTGCTCCCGCTCCTGCTCCTCCTCCTCCTCCTGCTCCTCCCCATCCTCCTCCACTCCTCCTTCTCCTCTTCCTCTTGCCTCTTCGCTCGTCATTCTCATCATCTTCCTCCTACTACTACTCCGCCGTTTCCGCCTCCTCCTCCTCCTCCTCCTCCGCCTTCTCCTCCTCCTTCTCCTCCTCCTCGTCCTCCTCTCTCCTCTCCCTCCTCCCTACTCCTCTTCCTCCTCCTCCTCTTACTCGTCCTCCTCTTCCTCACGGTCCTCCTTATCCTCCTCCTCCTCCTCCCTCCTCCTCCTCCTCCTCTCCTCCTCCTCTTCCTCCTCCCCTCTCTTCCTCCTTTCCTCCTTGTCATCCTCGTCCTCCTCTTGCTCCTATTCCTCCTCTTCCTCCTCCCTCCTCCCCCTCCCTCCTTCCTCCTCCATCCTCCCTCCTCCTTCCTCCTCCCTCCGTCATCCTCCCTCCCTCCTCCTCCTCCCTCCCCCCGCCTCCCTTCCTCCTCTCTCTTCTCCCCTCCTCTCTCCCGCCTTCCTTTCCCTCCCTCCTCCCTCCGCCCCCCCCCTCCCTCCTCCCCCTCCCTCCTCCCTCCCTCCCCTCTTCCCTCCTTCCTCCTCCCTCCTCCCTCCTCCCCTCCCCTCCTCCTCCTCCCCCCCTCCTCCCCCCCCCGCCTCCCTCTCCCTCCCTCCCCTCCTTCCTCATCCCTCCTCCCCCTCCTCCTCCTCCTTCCTCCCTCCCACCTCCTCCCTCCGCCCTCCTCCCTCCCCCTCCCTCCTCCCTCCCTCCTCCCTCCTCCTCCCTCTCCTCTCCCTCCCCCTCCTCCCTCCTTCCCTCCTCCCCCTCCCTCCTCCCCCCTCCTCCCTCCTCCCTCCTCCCCCTCCTCCCCCCCTACCTCCTCCTCCTCCCCCTCCTCCTCCCTCCTCCCTCCGCCCTCCGCCCTCCGCCCTCCCTCCTCCTTCCTCCTTCCTCATCTGTCCTCCCTCCTCCCTCCTCCCTTCTCCTTCTGCCTGGAGCGTCTGTGAGAGTGAGGAGAGGCCCACCCCTCCATGAAGCGGCCGCCGTCCAGCCTGATGGTCGCCGGCTCCCGCCGCCGCGCTCTCAGGCGCGGGCCCTGCCATTCCCCCTCCGTTCGAGATCGTCGTCGTGTTCGCCGCCGCCGTCGTCGTCGTGACCACGGCCGCCGCCGCTATCGTGGTTGTGATCGTCACACGTGCAAGTGCCAATACTTCCTGAGCCCAGGGAACCCAGGGGAGCCAGAACCGTGAGGCTCAACTGCTCGCGTCCCCGCGGAGGGAGCGCTGCCAGACGTGCAGCGGCCGCTGCTTGCTGGGCCCCTGGAACGACCAGGGGAGCGCAGCCCAACGGGCACCCAAGTAAGACCTCGCCTCGAAGGGTGCTGCCAAATGCATAGCTGCCGCCACTCCCAGGATCTCCAGAGGCCCCTGGGAAGTCCGGCGAAGCGCGCGCTGCCAAAGCGCAACTGCGCCGTCGAAGAAGGGGCTCGAGCGGAGGCCCACCCGGAGGGCGCCCAAACAAGGCCACTCGCATCTCCTCGGTGCTGCTCGACCCTTTCTCGAGAGGGGCGACGGCGACGACAGGCGGGGCGGGCGCTGGCTCAGGGGGGGGGGCTATGACCTGGAATCGAAGATGCATCGCCGATAGATCGGCGATGGACCCCCGATGGGAGGCCCGAATCCGAGGGCAGGTTGGGGCACCCAGGCCCAGATCGATGAGGAACTGGCGATTGGGGGTCAATACTCCTCCCCCTGAGCTGGTCCCCCCCCCAACCCCCGGCGGCGCCCTGAGATTTCCTGGCACCCTCCTGGGTACAGCGGAGCAGTGCCGCACGGGGGCACAACTGAGACCTCGCTTGTGTGCGCGCTGCGCAACGGAAACTTGCACTGCTCACTACTTCCTGCATCTCCAGGGGAGCCCAGCGCAGTGCCGCCCAACAGAGGTTCAAGCGAGACCACATCGCCCTGGGTGCTACCGGCCTTGGCTGGGCTGGGCACGTCCCTGTAAAACTTCCTGCTTGGGGGGCGACGTAAGCAATACCAGTCAGCGTCGAATCGAAAAATCGGATCGAATCGAAATGTGCGTCGTATCGGAAACGGAGCCAAAATCAAATCGGATCCGCTGCGCCAGGATTCACACCAGCGCCATGCAGACATCGGACCGCATCGCGTACTCGGAATCGTTATCGGAATCGGATCGGATCGGATCGGGCTGGCCGAAATCAACATCGAATCGGATCGACATGGACCCTGTGTGGGTGGTCGAGGGCAGGTGCATCCCAGGGGGCTCGCCCCCGCACAGTACAGGCCGAGCAGCAGCAACGGCAGGGGCAGCTCCCGGTCCCCTCCGGCGCGACGGACATCTTGTTGGAGTCGCTGAGCATGAGCACCTCCGTGGCATCGTGAGCGGTATGGCCAGTGGCACCGCCCAGAACCTCGCCCCATCGCGCTCCCGAACCCAGGGGAAGCAGAGCGGCCGGGCGACGGAGGGAGGGCAGGCGGTGGACGCCCCACGGAGGCGGTGACCAGAGGTGGAGCGGGACTGAAAAACCGAGCGCGCGGCAACGGGAGCAGCGGCGGCGGCAGCTTCAGCTGAAACGCTGCGTGCCCCCCCGGCTCCCGACCTGCTAGCCACAGCGCTCCCCCCCTTCCGTGTCCTCCTCCTCCTCCTCCTCCGCCTCCTCCTCCTCCTCCTCCTCCTCCTCCTTCTCCTCCTCCTCCGCCGCCGCCGCCGCCGCCGACGACTGCTGGCACCGCCAGAAGCATGCACATCCTCAAGTTCTGGAGTCCCGCCCCACGGTCCCCCCGGGGAGCAGCGGGCGGTGGACACGCACTGGATACACGTGCGGAAGTCTGGCCTGCACGGCCATTGAGGGGCCAGGCGCCCGAGACTCCTTCGATATTCACTGGCTGACGCTGGAAAGACATCAGGACACATGTGTAGCCAGCTCGCGCCCAGGCCAGCCACGCCATGTGTATTCAACTTCCTGATACTGATACCGATGCTCCCCGGAACTCTCCCTGGACGCGCTCGGACCAGGACTTCGAGGCGGACCTGGCCGTGGCGATGAGGACCCTCCGGGAAAGCTCATGAGGCCGACAGCGGGGAAGGCGCAGCGGCGTCAACATGTTTGCCCACCTCTAAAATTTGCTCAAGACCGGACCACAGACCCCTCCTGGGGTCCATCCTGGCCGCTCTCGCGTCACAGATCGATGTTTGAAGGTGCTGGGACCCGAGACCGGTCACCAGGCGCCGAAAACGAGGAAGAAAGAGGAAGAAGAAGGAAAGATGCAGGAAGGAAGAAAGTGAGAAAGAAATGAAAGGGTGAGAGGAAGGGAGGAGGGAAGAGGGACGAGGGGGAGGAAGAAGTGAGGAAGAAAAAGAAATGAGGAAGGAGCGGAACGGAGCCGGTACCGGGCACCGAAGGACCCAGGGCCTCTTGAACAGAGCGCAGGAGGCCGTAGCCTCTGAAATGTGGGTGTAGGAATTGAAGCTGATATAATAGACGAACCCGTGTAAGTAGGAAAATCGCCAGCCCAACGTGCCGGAGGCGTGCTAAGAATTCCGGCAACTGGTGAACCGTATGGCTACTTCGCGCGGGCGGGGCGGCCCCTGGAAGTCCCCGGACGAAAAAGAACCCGGCCGACGCCCGGCCTGGTCCCCCAGAGCGATCCAGGAGCGCGCCGAGAGGGCGCCGGGACGCTCCCGACACTGTCCTAGAGGCGCGGAGTCGCCGAAAGATTGCTCCAAGACGCCCAAGATGACATCCATACGGCCCAAGAGGCCGCCAAAAAGCCCAGAGAGTGCCTGAAGGCGCGTGCGCTGACGCGGCTTGGCGATCCGAGTCGAGGTCGATAACGTCGCTGGACACGGAGTTCTGGCACGCGGGCAGCAAATGCCCGCCCGCCCGCCGCGGTCGCACTGTCGGGGCCGGCCGCCCGCCGCCGCGCGGGCGACCAATTCGGCAGGGGGGTCGCAGAAGAACGCGCCCACGCTTGCGAGCCGCTCATTCGTTGGCCAGCGGCTCAACCGTTGACCTCGGAAGCCCCCGTCGCTAAATCCGCGGGGTGTCCACGAATCGAAAACACGCGTCGGATCAGGGCCCCTCAGGGCCGGCGCCGCCGCGAAGGGCTCGCGCGGAGGGCGCGCTCGCGAGCCGACTTGGGCGTCGGCGGCTAGAACTGCGCAGAAGCGTCGAAAGCGGGCCTCTTTAAACAAAGCACCGACGGCGTCGCATAGATGTTGCGTCTTGTCCGCGCGCCAAACGTGGGGGAAACGTGCCAAAATTAATTGGAATCTGTTTTTTCCCTCCTTGATTGTGAGCGTCGCAGTTCTATCGCAGGCGGCTTGAAATACTGGAAAAATGCCCCGGCATCCAAGCAGGAAGAGTGCGACTCCGCGCGAACGGCAATCGCCGCAAAACCTGGCGAAAATATGACCGTGGGAAATAATCTACAATTCTCGTTGCATCATTGAAACTACGCAAATCCTGTAATCACTCATCCATCTGGTCGCTTGTGATTAAAAATAACGCGCTTCTGTACATGACTGCGACATCGACGCCGACGTCGCGGCCGGCTGCCCCGGCGGCTTCACTGGCAAGGACATCGCCCCGTCCACGCAGTGCGGGGCCAGTCAGAGGGGGCGGTTGGGCAAGGGAAGTGGGGGCGTCGCAGCCGACGCTCGCACGGTCGGCTCGCCCGCCACCAGAGCTATGGCATGATTGTCGAAATCGCAAGGATGCCGCAAGGAAGTCGCTCTCCAAGGTGCTGTACTTGCCTCTTCTTCATCATCTTCCTCTGCCTGCTCTGCCCGTGAATGGCGGTGGGAGGTCGACGGTTGGGCTGCTTGGCGCTGCTAATCGGCGGCAGTCGCTGTTGTTCGCGTCGCCTGTCGGTGGCGGTATCGATATTGGTCGGTGCTGGTCAGCGCTGCTGGTCGGTATTCTGTGGACGTCTGGCGTTGGTGGTTTGAACAGTGCTATGCGCAAGTCGAGGTCGAATCGTCGCGGTCGGTCGCTGCTGGCGGGCGCTGGCGGGCGCCGCTGGTCGGCTCAGGTCGGGTGGTCAACGCTGTTGTCCGGCCGCGGTTTGCGGGGGTCGATAATTTGGCACGCTGGCTCTGCTGGATGGTGGCGGTCGGAACATTTACTTGATCTGGTTGAACGCTGCTGGTCGGTTGCGATTGAATCGTTCTCGCTGGTGGTCGGCATCGGTCAGCGCCGATCGGCGCTGGAGGCCAGTTGCGTTCATGGGGCCGGCGCGGTGCTTCTCATCGGCGGGAGCGCTGTCTGCGAGACGCAGCCCTATATCGGGCGTTGGCAGAACTGGGTTTAGTGGAACCTGGTTTAATGATTTGTACCGGGGGCGCCCCCCCCCTCCTATTTCCACTAACCGGAACTGCCGTCACCCGAAAAACACAAATTACGGCAAACCTGGTTTAGTGAATCTGGCCAATTCAGGGGCCCCAGGGCCCTTCCACTAACCGGGTCGCCTTACACGGGGTCCTGGCTATACCCGACTATAGGCGCTGGCACGCCGGTCGGCGCGAGGATTGCCGAGCCGCTGGCGACCAAGATGATGAAGCCGGTGTTCGCGGACGTGGCCAGGCCGATGAGGTCGGGTCGGCGAGCCGTCCTGCAAGCGCAGTTTTTCAGACCCCTGAGAACGAGCGCCGGGCATTGCCTCGAGCATTGAACCACTGGCGACGCTGGTGGGGAGCGTCGCGATGGAGCCGGAAATAGTGCGTCCACGGCGCAGGATACACAACGGCACATCTCCGGACGTGTTTCTGCAGGTCCGTCGCCCTCCGCCGCAGCTGCGAGAAACGTCGGGACGGGCATGCCGATGCTCCTTTAGGTGGATGGTCCTAAGACTGCCTGCGGTCGGAAGCAGCCGAGGGTGAGTCATATCTGGAATCGGGGCCGTCTGACGCCGAAGCCACGTTGGGTTGCGATTGCGCGGGGGCGCAGGTGGGGTGGGAGCCAAAGTCGAAACTGAGGGCCGAAGATCTTTGGTCGGAGATCGTATTGAGCCGGGGGTCCGTGCGTTCCTCGTACTCCTTATACCGTTGAGGGGCGGTAGCTGCAGCCATAACTCTTGTCGAATTCATGGCTGGATCGTCCCCTCTCTGAATGTCCTCCTCCCGTTTCTTCTTCTGCGTCTCTGGAGTCGACCATGTGTGGCCACCGTGGCGTTTACCTTTCTCTTTGTCTGGCACCGCTGCCAACCATGGTGCGATCAACGTGAAAGAAACTGCGAATGTAGTGAATATAAGCTGATAGAGGAGCTTGGGTACTAAGAATTGATCGCTTGATCGATTGAGGCAGAACTGCTACGCAGGGATGAAGGAAGGAAGGGAATAAAGAGGAACGAGGAAGGAGGATAACGAGGAAGAAGAAAAGGAGTATCGCCCGCTGGCTGGTCAGATTAAAAGGGAAGCAGATGCTTAAAACTAGTGTATATGTATACATATATATATCACTTTCTAGATGGATCAAAAGGAGAGAGAAGAAGAAGAAAGAGGAGAAGGATGAGGAGGGATACGAAGGAGAAGGGAAGGGGAGGAAGGAGGCTCGTGCTGATATGCCAAAGCTCCAACTCTTGAACAATCCCCTGCCCAGCGGAAGAGCCAGGATCTGGCTGTCCCTCAGCGCGGCGGCGGCACAGGCCCCCCGCTTCAGGCCCATGGGCGGACCCTGCGCCGCCACCAATTTCCGGCAGCTGTCGCCGCCGCCGCCGCCACAATCACCGCCGCCGTCGTCGTCGCCGCCGTCGTCGTCGTCGCCGTCGTCGACGTCGTCGTCGGGCGTCACCGTCAGTCGTCGTCACAGCTGGTCGCCGTCCCCCTCCTGAGGGGGCGGGGGGTGAACACGGTGACATGTGGAAGAGCGAGGACAAGGAGGGAGGAGGAGCGGGAGGAGGGGCGACAGGAGGACGTGGAGGAGGAAAGAGAGGAGGATGACAAGAGGCGGGGAGAAGGCGGCGAGGAGAATAATCAGACTGATAAACGACAACGACGACGATGAAAGAATGCCGCGGGCCATGCCAACTGCAAGGCGTAGAAGCTTCGACGCCTCAAGGACCTGCTGTGACTCCAACCAAGAATGGTTGAACGCGCCTGGACAACATGATACCAAATCGAGTGGAGGGAAGCCACTGATATTATCATATCCGTGAGTCAAGTGTGGCGACCTCCCATCGCTACAACACTCGGCGGTTTCCAAGAAGGGATCAGGCACGGAATACGAAAATGAGGCATGATGAACGAACGGGAAATGACACATAGCTAGAGAAAATTACCCTGGCGACGTACCCAACCGTTGCGCAATGCGGGGCATAAACACATCAGGATTGCCACAACGGGGGCGATGACGTAACATGGACGCATGTGATTTTGCGAGCAGCAATCGGAAGGCTCGCAGGCCCCCGATCAAGATCTAAGGGCTACGTAATAACAAATCACCCCCGTTGGCTGTGGCATGCGCCCGTTACACCCAACGTATCCCGCAGCAGCTCTTGAGAACCCCCGCGGGATACGTGCAGGCGCAACGTTATGGCCATCGCCCGGAAGATGGCCTGTTTCACGAATTAACCCCCGTTGGCTGTGCCAATTGCCCGTTGCGCCTCGTATCCCACGGCAGCTCTCCAGAGCCCCCCCAGGGACGGCGAGGTCCCGCTCAGATCCAAGCGGTGCCTCACTCCGCTGGACCCACCAGCAGTCCTCGAAAGTGGTGACAATGTCGCAGATCGCAGCCCCCCAGGGACGGCGAGGTCCCGCTCAGATACCCGCGGTGCCTTACTCTGCAGGACCCACCAGCAGCCCTCGAAAGTGGCGACAATGTCGCAGATCGCAGCCCCCCAGGGACGGCGAGGTCCCGCTCAGATCCCCGCGGTGCCTCACTCCGCTGGACCAACCGGCAGCCCTCGAAAGTGGCGACAATTTCGCAGATCGCAACCCCCCAGGGACGGCGAGGTCTCGCTCAGATCCGCGCGGTGCCTCACTCCGCTGGACCCACCAGCAGTCCTCGAAAGTGTCGCAGGTCGCAACCCCCCAGGGGCGGCGAGGTCCCGTTCAGATCCGCGCGGTGCCTCACTCCGCTGGACCCACCAGCAGACCTCGAAAGTGGCGACAATGTCGCAGATCGCAGCCCCCCAGGGACGGCGAGGTCTCGCTCAGACCCTCGCGGTGACTCACTCCGCAGGACCCACCAGCAGCCCTCGAAAGTGACGACAATGTCGCAGATCTTAGCCCCCCAGGGACGGCGAGGTCCCGCTCAGACTCCGCTGGACCCACCAGCAGCCCTCGAAAGTGGCGACAATGTCGCGGATCGCAGCCCCCCAGGGACGGCGAGGTCTCGCTCAGATCCGCGCGGTGCCTCACTCCGCTGGACCCACCAGCAGCCCTCGAAAGTGGCGACAGTTTCGCAGATCGCAGCCCCCAGGGACGGCGAGGTCCCGCTCGGTGCCTCACCCCGCTGGACCCACCAAGGAAAGTGCGACCGTTTCGCAGACGCAGCCCACCAGGGACGGCGAGGTCCCGCTCAGATCCGCGCGGTGCCTCACTCCGCTGGACCCACCAGCAGCCGTCGAAAGTGGCGACCGTTTCGCAGATCGCAGCCCTCCCAGGGACGGCGAGGTCTCGCTCAGATCCGCGCGGTGCCTCACTCCGCTGGACCCACCAGCAGCCCTCGAAAGTGGCGACAGTTTCGCAGATCGCAGCCCCCCAGGGACGGCGAGGTCTCGCTCAGATCCGCGCGGTGCCTCACTCCGCTGGACCCACCAGCAGCCCTCGAAAGTGGCGACAATTTCGCAGATCGCAACCCCCAGGGACGGCGAAGTCCGCTCAGACCGCGCGGCGCCTCACCCCGCTGGACCCACCAGCAGCCCTCGGCGACAATGTCGCAGATCGCAGCCCCCCAGGGACGGCGAGGTCCTCCTCAGATCTGCGCGGTGCCTCACTCCGCTGGGCCCACCAGCAGCCCTCGAAAGTGGCGACAACTTCGCAGATCGCACCCCCCCAGGGACGGCGAGGTCTCGCTCAGATCCGCGAGGTGCCTCACCCCGCTGGACCCACCAGCAGCCATCGAAAGTGGCGACCGTTTCGCAGATCGCAGCCCCCCAAGGACGGCGAGGTTTCGCTCAGATCCCCGCGGTGCCTCACTCCGCTGGACCCACCAGCAGCCTTCGAAAGTGGCGACGGTTTCGCAGATCGTAGCCTCCCAGGGACGGCGAGGTCTCGCTCAGATCCGCGCGGTGCCCCACTCCGCTGGACCCACCAGCAGCCCTCGAAAGTGGCACCAACTTCGCAGATCGCAGCCCCCCAGGGACGGCGAGGGCTCGCTCAGATCCGCGCGGTGCCTCACTCCGCTGACCCACCAGCAGCCCTCGAAAGTGGCGACAATGTCGCAGATCGCAGCCCCCCAGGGACGGCGAGGTCTCGCTCAGATCCGCGCGGTGCCCCACTCCGCTGGATCCACCAGCAACCCCCGAAAGTTGCGACAATTTCGCAGATCGCAGCCCCCCAGGGACGGCGAGGTCCCGCTCAGATCCGCGCGGTGCCTCACTCCGCTGGACCCACCAGCAGCCGTCGAAAGCGGCGACAGCTTCGCAGATCGCAGCCCCCCAGGGACGGCGAGGTCTCGCTCAGATCCGCGCGGTGCCTCACCCCGCTGGACCCACCAGCAGCCCTCGAAAGTGGCGACAGTTTTGCAGATCGCAGCCCCCCCAGGGACGGCGACCACAGGGGGGGGGGCGGGAGAAGGAGGGCGCGACCACACCCCTCTATTCAAAACGAATACCCAACCAAGGAGGGCTGGGGCAAAAGAGAGCGACAGAGAAAGAGAGAGAGAGAGAGAGAAAGAAACAAAGAGAAAGAGAGCGAGAGAGCGAACCAAACAATGATAAAGTGAAATTGGCAACAGGTCGATCGGCTTGCGAGGCCGTGAGACAAGGGCACACTGCCATGGTTACTATCGAACCTAGCCCTTCCCGAACAACGCATCTCACTAACTCCTGCATCCACGCATTTCACCTTATGTTTGGTGCCCCGCCCCGATGCCCCCAACACATGATGCGCCTGCTCTTGTCAGCACAAACGAAACCAGTACCATTGTCTCTCGGAATCCCCAAGAACGCAAACCATTGTCGCGCGTGCGCCTTCATGCCTTTGCGTCGCGCTGTGGCCAGGCCCTTCTCCACCTCAGTATCCCAGTCTTACTTTGTTCACCTGGCTATGAAAATATGTTGGCCGCCTGGCTCTCGCTCGATCCTTCTCTCCCGTTCTCTCTCTCTCTCTCTCTCTCCCTCTCTCTCTCTCTCTCCCTGTCTCTCTCTCCCTCTCTCTCTCTCTCTTTCTCTCTTTCTTTCTTTCTCTCTCTCTCTCTCTGTCTCTCTCTCTCTCTCTCTCTCTCCCTCCAGATTCCTCTCTCTATCTCTATCTCTCTCTCTCTCTCATTATCTTTCCCTCTTTCTTTATGCTTATCTCTCTCTCGCTCTCTCGTTTTCTCTCTCTGTCTCCCTCTCTTTCTCTTTTTTTCTCTCGTGTTCTCTCTCTCTCTCTCTCTCTCTCTCTCGCTCTCTATATTTCTCTCTCTTTTTCTCACTCACTCTCTCTCTCTCTCTCTCTCTCTCTCTCTCTCTCTCTCTTTCTCTCGTTGTATCTCTCTCTCTCCCTCTCTCTACCTCTCTTTCTCTCTCTCTCTCTCTCTCTCTCTTTCTCTCTCCCCCCCCCCTCTCTCGCGCTCGCCAATCATCGTATTACGTGCGCGGGCGTGCTTCTTTCTCTCTCTCTCTCTCTCTCTCCCTCTGTCCTCTCTCTCCCTCTCTGTTTGTTTATTTATGTCTCTCTATCTCTCTCTCTTTCCTCTCTCTCTCTCCTCTCTCTCCCTTTGTTTGTTATCTCGTTATTTATTTCTTTCTTTTTCTCTCTCTCTCTCTCTCTCTCTCTCTCTCTCTCTCTCTCTCTCTTTATCGTTCCTATATCTTGTTTGTCTCTCTCTCTCTCTCTCTTTATCTTTCCTCTCTCTTTTTTGGTTCTCTCTCTCTCTCTCTCTTTATTTTTTTCTTTCTCTCTCTCTCTCTCTCTCTCTCTCTCTCTCTCCAAACCTCGGCCCGAATTCCCGCGGGAACAGAACGCGGCCAAGACGCGAAACCTTCCGCGCCCCCCCTCCCGGCGAGCCCGCGGCCGGGGCCGTTCCGGGACATATTCGCGCCAGTCCCCCTGCGGCCGGGGCTTTTCCCCCTGCCCCCACCGCAACGGCCTGCGCCGCCGCCCCGGCGTTCGCGCCGCGCGCGGTGACCTCGTCGCGGCCCACTTCCTCGGCTGCAAGACGGGCAAGACTCCGGAGGGCGGAAACTGGCTCGCATGCAGCGTGGCCACCTCCGCGACAGCCGCGTCCTGAGCAGCGAATTCACGCTGCTCATCGCGACGATTGGCCTTCCTCGCTCCCATCCTGGATGAACAAGCCTTTCCCGCTCCACCTCGCGCCCCGCCCCGCGCCATGGGGCGACCTTCAAGATCTCCGACGCGACGCGCAACGTCTTCGCGGCGAACTGCGCGAGCTGCGCGCCCTCGTGCACCCGCGAGGCCGCCGCCCCGCTGCAGCAGCCAGCCGGGCCCGGAATATCAACGGCAGCAACCCGTGGCACTTGATTTTCCGCGCCCCGCCGCTCTTCCACAAAGCCGCCTGCGGCGCCC